TATATGAGTTGGACCTTAGGTCATTTTGCATATGGATATGACTTATTGGACCTGAGGTCGTTTTGCTTTGTTATGATTTATAAATCTGATGTGAATGAGAATAGTGGTTCAAATGTTTACATTATAAGTATGACTCCTTTATGAACGAATCTCATTCATTAACCTCTTTATTTTAGTATTATTCACTGTGAATTAGCTCACTATTTATTTATATGTATGTTGGTGAGCAGCGGGACGTCCAACCCCAACCCCAGTGAGCGTTGAGAAACCAAGTTCTGTGAGGTCAACCAAGGTCATCTCATACAGAGGCCTTATTTTTGTTTTACCCTTCTTTTGTTCTTTTGCGGTCACGTACGACTGAACTTGTATAACCTTGGTTTTGGAGTTTTCTCGTTTTTGTTGAATGTTGCCTACTGATTGATCCTAGACGTATATAATACTTATACAATATGAATGCTTGTGCAGTGTGAGTTATTATATGAACATGAGAATGTTTTGATCTAGCCATATATGCATAGCTCGTTGGACAACTGCAAATTTTAATTTTGCAATTTGGCCCCTATCATTAGATATGACTAAATTTCTAACTGAGGCCGCAAGTAATCTCGTGATTACTAGCCGATTATGACTCTAATCCATAGGGGTGAGTTCAGGTCATGACAGAGTGGTATCAGAGCGCGAGTAATAACTCACATACTTGTCCAAATGAGTGATAGAGTGTTTGCAAAAGACATAAGTTGCATTCATATGATACATATATGTGTGAAATGCATTGAGAAATTGCTAAGTGACTCGAAGTATGCAACTATATGATAATGTATATAACTGTTGCCTAGTTATATGAATGTGCCTTTTTGTTCTTTGGTAAATGAATATTGTGCATATCTTCTATGTGAAATATAATGCAAGTCTCATTAGATAATGGCGAGAACAAGGGACGATGAACTAGAAGAGTCCTCCACTAACCGACTAGACCGAATAGAGAGAATGATACAAGACATGGAAGAAACACTAAGGCAACAACAGCAATGGCAACAACAGTGGCAACACCCACAACCCTCGCCTCCGGTGCAACCCATACCAGAATTGAAAAATGATGATCGAACAATAGCCCTGACTAAAGAGTTTAAGAAAATGAAGCCACCAACGTTCCACAGGGGTGTAGACCCATTGAAGGCTGAAGCATGGGTCCTAGGCATTGAGATGTTATTTGAAGTGTTCCCATGTCTAGAGACACAGAAAGTACAGTTGGCCACCTTTACACTGGAAGATGAAATAAGGAGATGGTGGATGCTAGTCCGTGATGATAACAAAGGCATTGATTGGGCACAATTTCTTGCACTCTTTTATGAGAAATATTTTCCTCAGTGTGTCCGCGATAGAAAAGTGTCGAAATTTGAAGGGTTAAAGCAAGGCAATATGACCGTCGCTAAGTATGACGCCAAGTTCACCGAATTGGCTAGGTTCGCTGTGCATATGGTTGACACCGACTACAAAAAGGCGAGAAAGTTCGAAAATGGTCTTCGCAATGACATTCTGGAGATGGTAAATGTACTGAAACTGCCCACATATGTTGATGTGTTAGACCAAGTCTTGATGTCGAAAACTAACATGGCCAACTGAGGCAAGCCACCAGCCGACTGGAAGGTTAAAAGGCAAGGCTTTTTCTCAAGAAAGAAGCCATGAAAGAAACAAAACACAGGGTCTTCAAGCACTTCGGGCTCCACCAGGAATACGGCGCCAATATGTACTTAATGTGGTAAGAAGCACCGTGGAGTTTGTTACCGTATTTCTGGGGCATACTACAAATGTGGGGAAATAGGGCATATGGCAAGGGATTGCACCCAAACCGAACAAAAAAAAAAGTGGAAAACCAGCCATTAGGTCAACCGGATCCATCCCAAAATCGGGCAATACTGCGAAGCCTATTGCTACCAGAGGCACAATGAGACAAGGGAGAGTCTTTGCACTTGTCCTAGGTGACACACGGAATACTGAAGTTGTTGTCTTAGGTACTATTTCTACATGCAATCAAGATGCTTTTGTGTTGATTGATTCCGACTCAACACATTCCTTTGTGTCTATTATATTTGCATCTAGATTGACTAGACCCCTAGAATCATTGCCATATTTGCTATGTGTATCTGCTCCATCTGGGAAATCTATATTGTGTACATTTGTGTATCGTGTTTGTGATATGCGAATTGGTGATACTACCTTATATGTGGATTTGTTACCCTTGGACATTCGACACTTTGATATAATTTTGGGTATGGATGGCTATCAAAATATTGTGCCACTATCAATTGTGTGACAAAACGGGTTGTGTTTAAACTGCCAGGCTATGTTGGATTTGAATTTGTGGGTAATGGGGTAGTGCCTCCACCTTATTTGATATTTGCAATAAAAGCATGTAAATTGATCAGGAAAAGGTGCTAGGACTATTTGTGTAGTGTTTTATCTGAACAATCTGTGAATATTCAATTGAATAATATTTTCGTGGTCCGAGAATTTCTGGATGTATTTCTCGACAAACTGCCAAGGGGACTGGTGGACAGAGAGATAGAAATTACCATTGATGTTGTCCTGGGCACTCTACCTATCTCAAAAACTCCATATAGAATGTCCACTGCTGCAATAAAAGAACTAAAAGAACAGTGCAAGACTTACTAGACAAGGGGTTTATTGGACCAAGCACTTCACCATGGGGCGCTCCCGTGCTGTTTGTAAAGAAGAAAGACAGAACCTTACGTTTGTGCATTGACTATCGGGAGCTCAACAAGGTAACGGTCAAAAATAAATATCCATTACCCTGAATTGACGATTTATTTGATCAGTTACAGGGCTCACAAGTCTTTTCAAAAATTGATTTGAGATCCGATTACCACCAATTACAAGTGAATACAGAAGATGTTAAGAAAACTGCATTTAGAACAAGGTATGGTCACTATGAATTTCTTGTTATGCCATTTGGAGTGACTAACGCACCTGCAGCATTTATGGACCTTATGAATAAGCTTTTCAAGACTTATCTTGATGAATTTGTTGTGGTTTTTATCGATGATATTTTGATATATTCAAAGAATAGACTTGAACACGAACAACATTTGAGAACTGTCTTGCAAACACTTAGAGAAAAGAAATTATTTATTGAACTTACGAAACGTGAATTTTGGTTGGATGAAGTTGTTTTCTTAGGACACGTCATCAACAGAGATGAAATTTTCGTAGACCCACAGAAAATTGAGGCAATTGTAAACTGGCCCACACCAACAAATGTGACAGAAGTCTATAGTTTCATGGGCTTAGCCGGGTACTACAGAAGGATTATTAAGAATTTCTCAAAAATAGATGTACCCATTACCTAACTGACACGCAAGGGACAACCATTTGAATGGAATGACGAAAGAGAATCTATTTTTCATGAACTGAAAACGAGACTAACCACTGCAACAGTGTTGACATTGCCTATAGGTACGGAAAACTTTGTGATTTTCAGTGATCCGTCTTACAAAGGTATGGGGTGTGTGTTAATGCAGGATGGACAAGTAATTGCTTATGCCTCTCAACAATTGAGACCCCATGAGAAGAACTACCCGACACATGACCTAGAATTAGCCGCAGTTGTATTTGCCTTAAAAATTTGGTGGCATTACTTGCATGGAGCAAAGTGCGAAGTTTATACAGATCACAAAAGTTTGAAGTATTTCTTTACTCATAAAGAGTTGAATATGCGGCAGAGAAGATGGCTCGAACTAAAAAAAGATTATGATCATCAAATTCAGTATCACCTCAGGAAAGCCAATACAGTTGCTGATGCCTTGAGTAGAAAATCAATGGGAAGTTTGGCTTGCTTACTTACTAAACAGAAAAAGATTTTGCAAGATTTTGAGAAATCTAAAATTGAAGTAATATCACATGAGCAGAACGGGTTGATAGCCGCCATTTCTGCCAAACCAACAATCATTGATGAGATCAAACAGGAACAAAAGAAGAATGAAGTCCTCAAAAAAATAGTTGATGAATTTGAAACAAATCCGAAATCGGGGTACAGTGTGGTAAATGAAGTGTTGAAATTTCAAAACAGATTGTGTGTTCCGAATATTCCCGAGTTAAAGAGAAGAATTCTCGATGAAGCTCATAAATCGATGTTTGCTATGCATCCAAGTAACAACAAGATGTATCAAGACCTAAAGCAGAGTTATTGGTGGCCAAATATGAAACGTGAGATTGCAGAATATGTGTCTAAATGTCTTCAATGCCAACAAGTTAAGGCTAAACACCAGGAACTGGCAGGCCTACTCCAATCTCTCCCTATTCCGGAATGGAAGTGGGAACACATAACCATGGACTTTGTTGTTGGCCTACCTCAGACACCTAGAGGTATGGATTCCATTTGGGTTATAGTTGATAGACTAACTAAATCTGCACACTTTCTGCCTGTAAAATCTACATATGATACGTACTGATTAGCTACTATTTATGTTGATAAGATTATTTGTTTACATGGAGTTCTAATATCTATTGTGTCAGATAGAGATCCAAAATTTGTATCTAGATTCTGGAAGAGCCTTCAAGCGGCAATGGGAACTGAGTTGAGGCTTAGTACAGCATTCCATCCACAAACTGATGGACAATCAGAACGGACTATACAGACTCTAGAGTATATGCTTCGAATGTGTGCTTTGGATTTTCAAGGGAGTTGGGAGACTTACCTACCATTAGCCGAATTTACATATGATAACAATTTCTACTCCAGCATTGGCATGGCACCATATGAAGCTTTGTATGGCCGAAAATGTAAATCTCCAATATGCTAGACTGAGGTTGGGGATAAAGTTTTTCTTGGGCCCAAGCTTGTGCAGACAACTACTGATAAAATCAAAGTTATTCAACAAAGGCTTAAGATAGCTCAGAGCCGATAGAAGAGTTATGCGGATGTTAGAAGAAGACCCCTTGAGTATGAGGTCGGTGATCATGTGTTCATCCATGTAAATCCAATGAAAGGCCAGTTGAGGTTTGGCAAGAAAGGTAAACTATCACCTCGTTACATTAGGTCGTTTCAAATTTCGGAAAGGCTTGGTCCAGTTGCTTACAGAGTTGCTTTACTGTTGGGAATGGAACAAATGCACAATGTGTTTCACGTGTCAATGTTGAGAAGCTATCTCCGAGATCCGTTCCACATAATTGACTATCACCGAATAGCCCTTGATGAAAATATGAAGTACGGGGAATGGCCAGAATGGATTATCGATCGACAAGTAAAGCAGCTGAGGAGCAAATCCATTCCAATGGTGAAGATGGAATAGAAAGAACATTATGGTAAGGATGTCACGTGGGAGAAAGAAGAAGAAATGCGACAATACTACCCACATTTTTTTCTAACAGAAGGTAACATAAGTTTGGGGGACCAAACTTCCTAAAATGGGGAAGAATATGACAACCCTACTCTATGTTATGTTAATTAATCTTAATTATGCTTATAATTATGAGCTTGATATGATTTTGAGTGTTAATTATATGATTATAGGTGTTTGTGAATTTATATCTGCTCACTGTAGGAAAATCTGTTTGATTTTCTGCTATAAAAATTAAATTGAAGGCCGTAAAGGCAACAGAAACCAAAGTTGGTCATATTATTGTGATTAGCATAATTTTTAGAGACTACAATGAAATTTAATTAAAAATTTATTCGGATCGAATTAATTAGATTAAATTGATTAATTTGAGCATAATTAAATTAGTTCTAATTAAGGTTGATTATGGGGATGTATATATATACAAGCTAAATGTGCTTAAGGTCATTACATGAGCTCAAAACCTGAAAATAAGCACTCTAGAGAGAGAGTGAGCCGAATTTAGAGAGAGAAAGAGGCCAACATTGAAGATTTTGCAACGGAATTGGAGAACTAAGTGAATTAACTCAAGATTTAGCTATATTTGAGAGGATTGAAGCCTCTAGGTGAGCAACCAACCTCTAATCCATGATTTTAAGCTTAAGATTATGGGAACTCAAGAGAATAGGTAATCAAAAACAAGATTTCAATAGTGTATGATGAAATTGAAGGCAATATATATTCATGCATAAAAGAATTTTCATGAGCTTGTATAAATTGGCATGAGGCATGTTGAATATGTAGAATTAAGTGTCAAATTATACATGCATGCATAATTTTATTAGATCTCATGATTTTGATCATCATTTGTATCATTTGACATGAAATTGAAGTCTATATTTTACATGCATGCATCATCCTTAAAGCTATGAAGTTTGATAGCATGTGTTATGAAGTTGTCAAAAAGAATGTGAGATGATTTGGGATTTGGACCATGATTTTGGGCAAATTAGACTCAAATTACCTATGTTCTCAATTTATATAATTTTTTCCATGTTTTTGTACTAAAAATGTAAGTTTTGAACCTTTGGAATTAAGTTTTGAGCTTCAAACAAAGTTTTGGAAAACCCAGAGTTCGATATGTCCGCTCAAGCGAGGAAAGTGTCGCTTGAGTGTGGAAATCGAGCTCCCAGAAGTTTTACAAAATCTTACAGATCGCTCGAGCGACCAAAGTGGCACTCGAGCGAGGACCCTTTTTACTAAGTCTTCCGCTCAAGCTACCGTCGAGCAGGAAATTCACGGAACCAGTACTTTTACAGACCGCTCGAGCGACGGAAGTTATGCTCGAGTAACCTCCTTTATTTTTGAATTCCCGCTTGAGCGAAGGAAGCTGCTCTCGAGCGAAAGGCCCCGCTTTAGAAATTTTGAAAAGATGTTTTATGTTTCGTTTTCTGTTCTTTTTCTCTTCTAAGCACTCTTAGGCATGCATTAAGTACACTAAATGAATTAAAGAGCAGGGAAGAAGCCCACTACAAGAAATGTCACTTTTAGCTACCAAAATGTTGGTCGCCAAAAGTCACATATTTAGTCGCCGAAGCGATTTAGCGACCATAATATTTTGTCGCTAAGCTGGTCGCCTTTACCCTGTCGGCGATAGTATTGGCGACTAAAATTTTTTTAGTCGCCGAAAGTGACCACCTTTGGCTACTAACTTGGGTTTAGTCGGCAAAAGGTATGTTTTCCGCCACTAATTTATTAGTCGCCGAATGACTACATTTGGCTACTATTAAGTAGGGTCAAGCGCAAAGACGAATCAAGCACTGGAACACAGTGAGTAATATCTTAGTAAATATATTTTGTGAATACATTATTCTCTAAATGTTACCTATATGGTAAATTTCTAACCTTATGAATTTGTACTATGAATGAATATTCTATCCGTTTAATTCGTAATAGAATCTGTAAAGTGATTGATGTAAAAGTATGAAATGGGCCTAAGGCCGTTTGGTATGTTTGACAAGAACACGGATTGGGCCCAAGGATATTTGGAATGCTTAACAATATAGACTAAAGGTCATCTTATATAAAAATTGGACCAAAGGTCGTTTTGACTAAAGACTTGATTGGACCAAAGGTCGTTTTGAATATGAGTATGGATGTGATCACGATCATATGCGTATGATTATGATTATAAAAATGGTGGACCCAAGGTCGTTTAGTAATGTGATATGGAGGACCGGTGGTCCTTGGTACATGGATCCATTAGACCTAAAGTCGGTCTACGACTGAGTACTAGACCCGAGGCGTTTTGTATAGATGGACCCAAGGCCGTTTTGTTTTATAAATGAGTTGGACCTTAGGTCATTTTGCATATGGATATGACGTATTGGACCTAAGGTCGTTTTGCTTTGTTATGATTTATAAATCTAATGTGAATGAGAATAATGGTTCAAATGTTTACATTATAAGTATGACTCATTTATGAACGAATCTTATTCATTAACCTCTTCATTTTGGTATTATTCACTGAGCATTAGCTCACTCTTTATTTATATGTATGTTGGTGAGCAGCGGGACGTCCAACCCCAGCCCAGGTGAGCATTGAGAAACCAAGTTCGTTAAGGTCAACCAAGGTCGCCTCATGCAGAGGCCTTATTTTTGTTTTACCATTCTTTTGTTCTTTAGCGGCCACGTACGACCGAACTTGTATAACCTTGGTTTTGGAGTTTTCTCGTTTTCATTGAATGTTGCCTACTAATTGATCCTGGACATTTATAATACTTATACAATATGAATGCTGGTGCAGTGTGAGTTATTATATGAACATGAGAATGTTTTGATTTAGCTATATATGCACAGCTCGTTGAACAACTGCAAATTTTACTTCCGCAATTTGGCCCCCTATCATTAGATATGACTAAATTTCTAACTGAGGCCGCAGGTAATCTCGTGATTACTGGCCGATTATGACTCTAATCTATAAGGGCAGGTTCGGGTCATGACAATAACTGCCCATGGTCTTCATAACTGCTAGTAGTTGCTTCTTTGTTATAGTATTTTTTCTTACGGACTTCTTTGCATCCAAACCACGTGTCCTTCTCACTTGCATACCTAACTCCATGACTTGACACCTGGGCCACGTTTGGCCATGTCCCACTGTATTATTAGAGGAATCAACAGAACAAACTGCATCTACTACATCTGCTCCTTAAATGGCTTCAACTGTCTCTTACTCTGAATTTTGGAGTCTATCCCCCACTGTAAACTTATGGTTTTCACTCCTTACATTCCTTAGATCAACCCTCTGTATTTGCTATGTTTATTCGGCGGAGAATATAAATTCTAGTTCTGACAATGCCCTCCTCATCCAAGATAAAAAGTTGTTTTTGTTTTGAATGAATGTCAAAAAATGACAAAATAAGGTTTTGGACACTCATAAATTTGGGCAATTCATTTAGGCTTATAAAATCAAACCCACGTATTAAAGCTCAAATACTTATAATAACACGCGGTGAATAAAATTGACCTAAAACATGAATTCAAAAGGCCCGGTCATTAAGCCTAACTGTTAGTAACAGGCTTAAGCTCAATAAGGAGGGTCCACCATAAGCTATTTGACCGTCAGAATTCAAATAATCACTTCACTATTCTCATTCCCTTTATTTTACTCTGTTCTTCGCCTCTTCAAACTTTTTCTGCTTCGAAACCCTATTTGCTCATCCTAATGGCACCCAAACGAGCTCAAACCAAGGGAAAAAACAAACAAAAACGCCACATGTGCAACGTTTTCCACCTGAGTTCCAACAGTTACTTCGCCAACATATTTTTGATAGCTGCATTATCCCTCACAACAAAGCCTCTGCCCAAGGAGAATTAGGTCCAACCTTTTTTGCTAAAATCCCTGATGAATTTACCCTTCATTATCCCATTGCAGATACTGAAGTGATGCTTTTCAAAAAAGCGAAGCTAGCTTGGAATTAGTGGCATTTGAGCCCTAACCCCTTACGCTCATGGCAGAAACCAAACCCTAATTGGAGACTATGGGTTCATCGCATGATGATATACGCTATTGACCTTTGGAGAGCTCTTGGAATCTATGATGCCATTCAATTGTCAACCCTAGCTCTAGACATGGACAAATGGGCTAGTGGCGCCGCTATCTACTTTTGGTCTCTGTCGTGCAATTCCCTCATTTTAAAGTTCGGTATGATTTCTCCTACTATCCTTGATGTTGTACATTTGACTGGCCTTCCTATTGTTGGCCAACATATAAGTGCCCTCTTAACTCCCCAGTCTGTAGTCCCACTTGATACTGACCTTAGTTATGGAAAATTCCAAACCAAATACCAAAATTTTTTTGATGAACCCACTAAAGAAGAAAAAACAGCCTTTTACTTATTATGGCTCTTTCAACACTTTCTATGTGTCCAAGCCTAAAAATTACCAAAGAGTATTTGGCCATTGCCACTTGTATCCAAGAAAGCATACAACTGGTCTTTGCCCCCTTCCTTTTGGGCACACTATACAGGGGTCTTTTCTCTTTAGTTGATAAAGAGATAAATCATAACTGTGGAGGTCCTTTTTGGCTCTTTCAGGCCTAGCTCTATGCTTATTTCCCTGAAATGAGGCCTACCACTCAAACCCCTTACTTCTCTCCCTGTGAAAGTTATGCTGAATTCTTCTTAACCTTTCGACCAGCTTCATCCAACTCATTTACTAAGGTGTTCACTATTCTCTTTGAACTGCCTGTCGATAGAGACTCTTAACTTTTCATCCCTTTCCATACCTTTCATTTCAACTCCACTGGATTAACATACATTAATGTTGCCCCTCAAACATTAAGTGACACTTTGAAGCAAAAACAAAAAGATTTCTGGGCTCAAGCCCTCACTCCCAGATACATTCTAGTGGGTGGATCCATCTCTACCAATAAACCTTCTAATTGTAGTTTCGAAAGCTATAATCCTTGCCAA